AGAAAGCTGCCCAGTGAGGCTAGTCACTGTTGTTTTAATCTCATTTTCCAGCAAAGTCAACTGAAGAACAGAGACGTCTTCACCAAGTTTGTGACTTACGACCGTGGCTGTGTGGGACACCCGTTAGTCACTGCTGTACATATAAGGTGAGCTAGAATTTGAAGCCAGATTCAAGTCACCAGTTTGCAATGCCTGGATACAGAGTATCATAAATGAAGGGAAAAGGTCATTTACCATGAATGTTTGTTTATAAAGATGAGGTAGCGTTTTTATTATATGGACTTACATGATTCCTTTGGAAAAACTCTTAAGCTATGTCTGCCCCGCTTTATTTATTACTAAGCATGATATAAACTTGGGCTTCCCTGGTGGCTCAGATAGTAAAGAATGTGGGAGACCTGGGTTCGATCCCTGGGTTGGGACGATCCCCTGGAGAAGGGCATGGCAACCCACTCCAGTATTCTTGCCTGGAGAACCCCATGGACAGAGGGGCCTGGCAAGCTGCAGTCCATGGGGTCCCAATGTTAGTCAGATATGACTGAGTGACTAAGCACAGCACAGCACATAATATAAATTTATTTATCTCATTAGCCTACCTTCTATTTGTAAAGCTTATATTTTGAAACATTTATATGAAAATATCAACTAGGGTATTTGTTGTTGTTGTTGAGTCACTAAGTCATGTCCAACTCTTTGCAACCCCATGGACTGCAGCTCTCCAGGCGTTCCTGTCCTTCACTATCTCCTGGAGTTTGCTCAAACTCATACCCATTGAGTCAGTGATGCCATCCAACCATCTATAGGAGCATGAATTATAACTCTAAACTTGAAGCATGAGGAAAGATCATAACTCCAAAAACACTTGGTTATTTCTCATACTAGTAAATATGAGAATATTTTAGTAAATTAAACATTGAATCTCTATGAATCAAAGCTTAATGCTAATTAATGTTAAGTAATATTAGTAAACATGGAAAATATAAAGATGTATAGGATGGTCTTGGCTCTCAGTGGGCTTACAATCCATATGAGAAGAAAAGAGAAAAATTTTTAAGTTATAAAAATTAAATCACAATATAAGAGACATCAAAAGGCAACATAGTTTTAATTGACACATGAAATGCAATTAGCAAAGTAACTACTATAAGTAGAGGAAGGAGAGATCATTTCTAGAAACAGTGGGCAGGGATGACTGTCATATAAAAAATATATCAGCCAGATCTTGAAAGCTGAATCCAATAAGACAGAGATGGAGGAGGGGATTCATGGTGGAAAGATTCCAGTGAGAAAGAGTACAGATGACAAAAATGGAAAAGAGTATAAATTAAAAAACTAACTTACAGAACTGCAAGCTAGAGTGACATGGGGAGTTCTAGTACGAAACAGTGCTGGAAAGGCTCTTTTTTTTTTTTTTGGAAAGGCTCTTTGGAACTGGACTGTGGAGGGCTTTGAAGGCCATGTTGAGGAGCTGAGGTTTCTGAACAGAGAAGCATCTTGCTCAAAGTAGCACTTTAGAAAAATTAATTTGGTTGTGGTATGCTAGATTAAGGGCTTTCCTTAATCTAGCTCACTTGGTGAAAAATCTGCCTGCAATTCAGGAGACCCCAGTTCGATTCCTGGGTCAGGAAGATCCGCTGGAGAAGGGATTAGCTGCCCATTCCAGTATTTTTGGACTTCCCTTGTGGCTCAGCTGGTAAAGAATCCACCTGCAATGTGGGAGACCTGGGTTTGATCCCTGGGTTGGGAAGATCCCCTGGAGAAGGGATCTCCAGTATTCTGGCCTGGAGAATCCCATGGACTATACAGTCCATGGGGTTGCAAAGCGTTGGACACGACTGAGCAGCTTTTTCACTTTCACTCTAGATTAAATGTACTGGGGAGGACTGGAGGTGGGGAGATCAAGAAGAACCCAAAGCAAGTGCAGGAGTGAGAGGGAGGCAGTGGGATGGGAATGGGAGAGGTGAGAGCAAGAAATACTGAGGAAGAAGCCCACTCGTTTTCAATGTGGTGATTAGCATATAGTGTTGCAGCTTTGTTCCTTTCTAAAGTATCATCAAATCTGTGGGTTCCCAAGAACTGAATCATTTTAACAGTTGGGAGTGGGGAATGGGGAAATGGAAGAGTTGCTCATTTTAAATCTGCAACATCTAATACCTGGATAAGTGTATAGGTTTTCTTCTTAATCTTGTATCCTTCTCTCTCTCTCTTTAGTCGCCAAGTCGTGTCCAACTCTTGCAACCCCATGGACTGTAGCCTGCCAGGCTCCTCTGTTCATAGGATTCTCCAGGCAAGAATACTGGAGTGGGTTGCCATTTCCTTCTCCAGGGGATCTTCCCGACCCAGGAATCGAATCCAGGTCTCCTGTATTGCAGATTCTTTACTGACTGAGCTATGAGGGAAGCCCTTGTATCCTTATCTAAGGACAAAAAAGATGTCAGCTCAAAAACTTTTTTTAAAAAGAGTGTCATGAAGTGTAGGGATTAAAGGAAATCCGAGAATATTTTATTTTAAAAGAAAGTGAACTCTAGTTGAATACGAACTATTTCAAATGTTTCTATCAGTACAACTGAAGGACAACCTCAAGAACCCCAGGAATCCCTTTATGCCTGCAGTCCTATGCTGGAATTCCTATCAAAATAACCTTCTGGTTTGGGATATTTGTGATTTAATGTATTTATTATCCAGAAATTCAAGGAAACTTGATTTATCTCTAAATAAGCAGGGGGAAGAATTCAGGAGAGTTTTTCAGCAATTCATACCTCATGTCCTGATATTTCTGGTGTGTTGGTGAGTTTCCCTAGTGGCTCAGATGGTAAAGAATCTGCCTGTCATATAGGAGACCTAGGTTCGATCCCTGGGTCAGGAAGACCCCCTGGAAGGGAATGGCAACCCACTCCAGTATTCTTGTCTGGAGAATCCCATGGACAGAGGAGTCTGGTAAGCTACATAGTCCAAAGGGTCGCAAAAATTCAGACACGACGAGGAACTAACCCATATGCATAGATACACATGCCAATCCGTGTGTATTTGTACATATGGTAATGCCAGTGGCATCCAGCCTTCCGCACTGAATCTCTGCAGCCAAGTCCAGGCCTTATCGCTCACAGAAATGCAGTCCCTCTGCCCTTCAGGGCCCTTAAACTTGGCACACGATATCCCAGTAACACCACTTGCCAGAAAGATGGCGCCTGATAGAAAGTGGCCTTCCCCACATTCCCTACATTTCATTGCATGACCCAGCATTCAGAATCCTGCCGCCTTAAATTCTGCTCTTTCCAACCCCTTGGCTATTTTGAGACTGACCCTTGAGGGTGGGCACAGAATAAAGTCAGAAAGGGACACAGGTTTTCAGAGACTTGGGTAACCAGCGCTCTCCGGGCGCATACACTGAACTCAGGGTGCAGATCTCCAACCCCCTCTTTCTAGCCGCTCCTTCCCTTGTTTCCCCTTCTCAAGCTCCCCAGCTGGCAGAACTAGGCTGACAAGTCCTAGGCCAGGGATGAAGAAACAAGTAATTCACCCGCACCTACCCACTGATCGTCAGGTTTGGACCTAAAGCAAACTTATATGTTTGGATAAAGAAAAGTTGGGCTTCCCTAGTAGCTCAGTCAGTAAAGAAATCACCTGCAATGCAGGAGACCCGTCTTCAATCCTTGGATAGGGAAGATCCCCTGGAAAAGGAAATGGCGACCCGCTCCAGTATTCTTGCCTGAAAAATCCCATGGGCAGAGGAGCCTTGGTGGGCTACAGTCCATGGGGTCACAAGAGTCAGACACAGCTTAGCTACTAAACCACCACCAAGGCTTGAAACTGTTTGGCTTTATAAACTGAATACACATTGCCATTAGCTCTTGATTTAGGGAGCTCTCTCCAAGGTAAGAATATGAGTTTGTTCCTTTCAGACGCTATTCTTTTTATTCCAATGCTAGAAGGATGTGTGAGCATTATGTAACATTTTCGTGCACCCTTAAGTGGGTAATTAGGAGCTGTTTACTTCTCAGGATTTCAATTAAAAGCTTTTTATTTTCAAGGCTGAGTTGAGGACCTTACTGTGGTGGAATTAGACAGGGGGCTTGCACACCTTTGGCTACGTTGTGTGTTGATGGTGACCCTCCTGTAGGTGGGTACCCACATATAGTCACACCACTGCAGAGCTAACGACTCACTAATTTTAAACGCATTCAGTTGCCAACCCAGAGCCTTTGATATAACTTTACATGCTATTGGATTTTAACCTTCTTGAGTATTTATATATTTTTTCTTCTCTCATCCCTCCAAAATTAATCCTAGAGTTTTGAGAATCTGGGAACTTGGGCAAACGAGAAGGCAACGCAGCAGACCAAGAAATCTGAAATCTCAATCCACTACTGTGTCACCCAAAGTCAAGGTACCTTTTTGTTTGCACTGACCCAGCTCAAGTCATACAATCATGTGAGCAACAGAACACAAAATCCAGGTGTTATTACTGAACGTGAAAAGTCTCAGAAGTAGTTCAACGTGTCCTAGCTTCCGTGGCGGTGTCATTTACTCTAACATGCCTATGTCCTTAAGCCTCTCTCTATACATTACCGGCACACACTGTTGCATCTTACTCACACATCCATCAGCTGGGACCCGGGAGTGTGTATTTTTCCAACTGGTCCTCAGCATTAGCTGTCAGCTGCACAAACCTTCCCTTCCTTTCTGCATCTGCTGCCCTGGAGCGACAGAAGCTTCTTGCAAGAATAGCTCCCCGAGCGTTCCTGACAGATGCGCGCTTTGCTCTAGCAAGGCGCTCGCTGGAAAGTTTCTTCTAACCGCTCACACCCGCCTCCGATCCGATCCCCGAGCTGGCAGGACGCGAGCTGGCTAGGACTCTTCTTGACAGAGGAAGGGTTTTACACACACCCTCCTAGGCTGCCCAATACAAGAAACAATCTTGCAGCCCGACTCCTCCACCCCCAGCGAACAGACTGTCCAAGGCGCTCTGGTGTTTCGAGAACACCGAAGTCACCTCTCCGCTAAAGGAAATGCGCGCTCTGCTCTGCAGGAAACCTGGGCACTGGAGGTAGATCGGATGGGTGGCGGCGGGTAGAGCAGGGGCGCAGGAGGAAACCAAACGCCGGAGGCAAACGGGGCGCAGGAGAGGAAAGATTGGGGGCCGCGGGAGGGGGCGGGGTGGAAGCCGGGCGCGACTGGGCGCCGAGGGGAACTGGGCACTGGAGCCAAGCGGGCTCTGGAAGGGACGCGCGGGCAGGAACCGCGAGCGCCGGGGAGGCGCTTGCTTGGCGATCTGCCCTGGACTCCCCAGAGCCGCAGAACCGCCGGTGGAGGCGGGGTGCGAGGAGTTGGCGGGGCGGGGTGGGGGTGGGGGGGAACCAGAGAGGGGCGTGCCTTCGCCCGGATTGGCTGCAGGAGCCTGACGCGAGGCCCCGGGGGTTGGCTCGGGGGAGTGGGAGCCGGGTGGGGTGGGTGCTGGGTGCCGGGGCTGCGGGCTCCGCGCGCTCAGAAACATGCTGAGGTCCCGGCAGCTGTTCCAGCAGCGACAGCGGCTCCAGCAGCAGCGGCGGCGGCGGCGGCGGCGACAGCGCACGGCTCCGGCGGGGAAGGCGCCCGGCGCCCATGCCTCCGGCCCCGCGCCGCGGCTGCGCTGACCTGGCCGCTACCTCCCTCCGCGCGCCCCGCCGCTCGGGCCTCTGGGGGGGTTCCCCAACCGCGGCCCAACTCCGCCACACCCCTCTCCCCCGGCCTCCGCAGCTCGGCATGGGCGCGGGGGCGCTCGCCCTGGGCGCCTCCGAGCCCTGCAACCTGTCATCGGCCGCGCCGGTCCCCGACGGCGCGGCCACGGCGGCGCGGCTGCTAGTTCCCGCGTCGCCGCCCGCCTCGCTGCTGACCTCGGCCAGCGAGGGACCCCCGCTGCTGTCGCAGCAGTGGACGGCCGGCATGGGCCTGCTGATGGCGTTCATCGTGCTGCTCATCGTGGCGGGCAACGTGCTGGTGATCGTGGCTATCGCCAAGACACCGCGGCTGCAGACGCTCACCAACCTCTTCATCATGTCGCTGGCCAGCGCCGATCTGGTCATGGGTCTGCTCGTGGTGCCATTTGGAGCCACCATCGTGGTGTGGGGCCGCTGGGAGTATGGCTCCTTCTTCTGCGAGCTGTGGACCTCGGTGGACGTGTTGTGCGTGACGGCCAGCATCGAGACCCTCTGTGTCATCGCCCTGGACCGCTACCTCGCCATCACGTCGCCCTTCCGCTACCAGAGCCTGCTGACCCGCGCGCGGGCGCGGGCCCTCGTGTGCACCGTGTGGGCCATCTCGGCGCTGGTGTCCTTCCTGCCCATCTTCATGCAGTGGTGGCGGGACAAGGACGCCAAGGCGAGCCGATGCTACAACGACCCCGAGTGCTGCGACTTCATCATCAACGAGGGCTACGCGATCACCTCGTCCGTCGTCTCCTTCTACGTGCCCCTGTGCATCATGGCTTTCGTGTACCTGCGGGTGTTCCGCGAGGCCCAGAAGCAGGTGAAGAAGATCGACAGCTGCGAGCGCCGCTTCCTCAGCGGCCCAGCGCGGCTGCCCTCGCCCGCGCCCTCGCCCGGGCCCCCGCTCCCTGCCGCCCCTGTGGCCAACGGGCGCGCCAACAAGCGGCGGCCCTCGCGCCTCGTGGCCCTGCGCGAGCAGAAGGCGCTCAAGACGCTGGGCATCATCATGGGCGTGTTCACGCTCTGCTGGCTGCCCTTCTTCCTAGCCAACGTGGTGAAGGCCTTCCACCGCGACCTGGTGCCCGACCGCCTCTTCGTCTTCTTCAACTGGCTGGGCTATGCCAACTCGGCTTTCAACCCCATCATCTACTGCCGCAGCCCCGACTTCCGCAAGGCCTTCCAGCGCCTGCTCTGCTGCGCGCGCCGGGCCGCCTGCGGGAGCCACGCGGCCGCCGGGGACCCGCCGCGCTCCTCGGGCTGCCTGGCGGTGGCCCGGCCGTCGCCGTCTCCCGGGGCCGCCTCGGACGACGACGACGACGACGAAGACGACGTCGGGGCCGCGCCGCCCGTGCGTCTGCTGGAGCCCTGGGCCGGCTACAACGGCGGGGCGGCGGCGGACAGCGACTCCAGCCCAGACGAGCCAAGCCGCCCCGGCTGCGCCTCGGAATCCAAGGTGTAGGGCTGGGCGCCCCTCCCCGCCTTCCCGGCTTCCCCAGTCCGGGCGCGGGCTGTGCGCTCCAGGAGCAAGAGAATCCGGGCGCCCCCGAACCTCTTCCCTGGGAAAGAGATCTGTGTTTACTCAAGACCGAAAGCAGGTGAACTCGAAGCCCGCGAACCTCGACTGCATCATCCAAGGGCAAATAGGAAAGCCACGGACCGTCGCACCGAAAGGAAAGTTTGGGGAGAGGTGGGAGAAGTTTGGGGAGGGATGGGAGAGTGGCTTGCTGATTGTTCTTGGGGTTCTTTTTTCTGTTTGTGGTCCGGCCTTCTTTTGTGTGTGTGCGTGTGATGCATCTTTAGATTCCCTCCCCCTCTGCCCCCTCCGCCCCCGCCACGTGGTTTTAACACTTTCTGCGATGACTGGGAAGGGAAGGGAGAAGCGTTAGGAGGTAGAAGTCTCTCGACTTAGCTTCCATCCCATTCCCGGGAACAGGAGCGGTCAGCCAGAGAGAGGAGAGAGAATGACACTTCATCAGGACATTGCTTCCTTTTACTTTTCAGAGAAATTCCATTTTAATTTCTGAGGAATGATTTCTCCTGTTCTGAAAGCCGAGGGCAAGGATGGATGCAAAAATCGCGTTTCAGGAAGTTTTATGCTCTTCTTGGAACAAGCCTCACCTTGCTTCCCTTTCGTAGGGCAAGCGGGTTGTCCCTGACGCCTCCTCGGTGGTCAGGCTGAGGGGTTCCTACCTCACTCACACTGTGCACATTGCACAGCCAGATAGAAAGACTTGTTTATATTAAACAGCTTATTTATGTATAAATGTTAGTTGGAAGGACCAGGCGCTGAGCCTCTGTGACATGTGACTGTCCATTGAAGACAGGACAGAAAAAGGAAAAAGAAAAAAGGAAACAATTCAGATTACTGCATATGTGGTATAAACAAAAAATCAAAACAAAAAAGCCGTGATTCAAAGTGGCATTTTTTTGCACAGTATTAGGAACTGTAAAGTCCACAGAAGATGTTATTTGCACAAAAAGAAATTAAATATTTTTTAATGGGGGTGGGATGGGGCAGATCTTAAAAACTAAAATAAAATTCAGATTCTATCTCTGTTGTCTGTTATGTTATTGAGCTAGCGATTTATTGGAAAAATACCTTTTTATACTCTTTTATCATGGTACTGTATCCATATTATAAAAATTATCTTAAGGATTTTTTTTATTATTTTTTTATGTCCAAGGGCACATGTGAATCTGCTGGTGAAATTTAGCACTTGTGTGTAAATACTATTTCCTCTGTGTGCTTTACCAAGTATTTATACTCTGGTGCAACTAACTACTATGTGAGGAATTTGTCCATGTGCAATAAATACCAATGAAGCACAAAAAAAGATATGTACTGTGTGTCTGTAAGGGGGTCAGTGATAATGGAAAAGACAGTTTGTTTTGTTCGAAATATAGACTGGATTTCCCATAGAGCTCTTTTAATAGCTTTTCATGACTCAAGAGCATAGCAAAATGCCTCTAAACCAAATAAGGCGTGCACCTACTGAGAGCTGCAGACTTGCCCTAAATTTTCACAGCCGGTTTCAGAATATTCTAGACTACTTGGAGGTGTTTTCAAGATCCCATCTGCCACACTTGACTTAAGAAGTAACATTTGGGCTTGTGCATCTTCTTAAAAAAAAAAATTGAGTCAGGTAGCTCAGCTGCAACGTTGTACAGACAACGCAGGAAAGGAGACTAACCTGTGGAACCATCACTGCCTACTTGGAATTCGGTAAGTGGCATCCACCGCTGGTTTTTGTCTTCCAACAGAAAATTACAGCTTGCAGCACGTGCACATGTATCCAGTGACTGTTTAGAACGCAAAATGCTTTAATGGTTAAGTGAAAATTCATAAAAGAGCCTTTAAGTAAAGATTTTTCTCTTGTGTGATTAAATAGACCATTTCAGCGGAAGTTCTAGGTGGGCAGGTAACAGGGAGAAGTAAAGCTGAAGTGTTAAGTTTTCCTAACAAGATTATGACACCCTCAATGGATAGTTTTCCTAAAATTAGTTCCTAAGGAAAGTATAGTGAAATTCTATCTTGGGATTAATTCTGCATTCTCCAAAATAACTTCAAGTATTTCTCTTTGTATTTTTAAACAAGCTTTTCATTTCATGATCGTATAGTAAGGAAACCAAAGTGATGAGTACGAAGTTCTGGCTTATACCTAGATGAAACATGAACAAACTCTTCTCTACCAAGGAAAGTCAAGACCAACTATCCTTTCTCTGCAATGAGATATTCTAAGGACCAGGAGAGAGAAGAGTCTTCTGAGAAAGGTTAATGTTGCCGATGTTTTAAGAGACCAGCGGAATGTTGCATGAACAGTAGCCATTTCAACAAAAGCTGCTATGAAGTTTAACCCCTATCTCCCGGAAGTAAAAGGGTGGGGGGGAGCTGGAGCAGGAGATGGCAAGACTTACTTAAAAAAAGAAAGATAAATATTTGAAGAATCGTACTTTGGAGAACATAAAAATCAATTTTAGGATGACATCTCACTATCCTTTCCCCAAGGAACAAATATAGTCCATTTCTATCCTCCCTTCCCCCAGAGTATTTTAAATCACACAAGATTAATAGACAATGTCTGGTTTCATCTGAAGAAACAGTCAAATACCAGGTAATGCTTCACTTTCCTGTTTTGTCTAGATAAGTCTTTACATTAAATAAATTTTTCCAGTCCCAAACTTACATATAGATCTGTCAAACCTTAGGTCTCAAAATCACAAAAGTCCTATAAACTTTAATAACAAATATAAATATATATATGTATATATATATATGTAACTGTTTAGTATACAGATCTAAACTCTTTAGTGAGTTAGAGGAAATCTCCGTAATTCTGGGGCCAACTTATATATTGTTTATATATGTTGTTGTTTAGTTGCTAAGCCGTGTCTGACTCTGCAACCCCACGAACTGTAGCCCACCAGGCTCCTCTGTCCATGGGATCTCCCAAGGCAAGAATATTGGAGTGAGTTGCTATTTCCTTCTCCAGGGAATCTTCTCAACCCAGGGACTGAACCCATATCTCCTGCATTGGCTGGCAGATTCTTTACCACTGAGCCACCCTACCAACCAATGTTGTTTTGAAGAAAACATTGACTTGTCGTAGAAATGTAGGAACCTGGGCTGCCAATCCCCATAGCTATGGCATTTGGAAGAGAAAATTGTCCATCCTGTTTAATCTGTTGAGATCATGCACAACAAAAGTGACAGGAGGGAATTAGTGAACAGGCAGAAAAATCAACCTTACCCCCTAGGTTTGTGTGTAGCAGTACCGAAGGCATAAACCTTAAAATTAAAACAGTGAGCATGTGACCAAGATTCACTGATTTGCTTCATTTGAGATTATGCTTTGGTTGCACACTGTTAAGTTCTCCAGATATAACATGACGATATTCCAGCTTCTATAAATTCTCCCTCCAGTGTAGGAATGTATACTTAGTATAGCAGATAGCTTCATCCTTTGGTGAACTTGCCAATATAAAACTTTGCAAATAGAGCTTATTTTTTCAGTCCAGGCTTTCTTTGGAACTGGAATTATTAATAACTTCTAAGCGGCTATTGTGAAACCTTTCCTTGTTAAGCACATTTTCCTAGCTTATTTTAATTTCGCATTTTGTTGAACGTGCTGACTTCCTCTGGCAATATGTAAAATTGCCAGGCGGAAATTCTGCACTGAAAGCCTCAGGATGACATTAGCAGTCAAATTTTGAGCAAGAGCTTCTAAGCAAGGGTCAAAACAAAAATTATTCTATTAAGTTTTGCTGTCGTTTGTGAAAGACTTGAAAAAAATTTTTTTTTAACAAAGCTGGATCTATTAGTCTCTGGAAGGAAAAAAATTTTAACCTTAGCTGTAATTGAAATTAAACACATTGGCACAGATAATTTAGTTTTATTTGTACATTTCTGGTATAATGTGCTGAGAAATACTAATTCTTTTGACTCCCTGCCAATTTGCTACTAATCAAAATGGAGAAGATATGCACTGTTTGGATTATACCTAAAAATAGTTGTGCTGCAGTCACATCAGCAAATGGAATTAAATTAATTTCGCTTTCTTCTCCTGCACACACACCCTCCACATTATTTAAATTTCCATCTAGAATACTGCTTTTGAATCTCATAGTCTGTGAATGTGTCCCAAAGTGCACTGCTACATTGCAATTATTTTAAAGCAAATTCTCTCAAACTACTTTTTGAGAAGTACACTTCTCCTGAAATTCCAACTTCTACCCTGCTCTCATTTAAAGAGTCTTTACTAAATAGTCCATATAATGTAATCAAAGAAGTATTAATACTATGAATAGATACTTTGTGGATTAATTTACTTTCCAATAGTCTTTTTAACATTTCATGGGAGGAGGGAGAGGGTTTCTGAATCAATAAGACTTAGGCATTTCATGGAGCAGTTAATAAGCTTTCAAATCTAATTGCTCTAATGATAGACTGGAAAACAGCAGCTCCAAGGAGAAGCTGACACTATTCTGGCAATATTAGAGCATGATCTCAGCAGTCATCTTAGCAGTACCCAAGAAAACATGGAAAGTCACTGCACCCCTTACAACTTTGTCTTCACTTTCACGTTGCCTTCATTCTGAATGCATCTCTATCTTCTGTACCTGAAGAGAGTTCTAGTCTTGGACCAGCCATATACTCACCAGCCCGTCTCTTGAGCATGTCTTCATTTCCTCTTGAATGAACTAGAACCATCTAGAACATTTAGTTCTTCCTACAAGCATTGTCTTCCTACAAGCATTAAAATCTCATGAATGCTTTGTTAAAACTTGATTTTCAACATCTCTCAATACTTAGAATTGTTGTTTTCCTCTCTCTCAACATTCCCTGGCTCATAACTTTTATTAGTATCAGCAAGAGTACACTGTTTTCTTCCTGTTTATGACATAGAACTTACCTGTGATGCATTTTAAGTGTCTGAAGTTTGGATTTCTTCCTGAGAATTT